TTTTAAGAGAGAGTGAGAGAGAGGGGGGCACAGAGAGAGAGAGAGAGAATTTTAACATTTATTTATTTTTTCTTAATTCTCGGCGGACACAACATCATTGTTGGTATGTGGTGCTGCTGGGGATCGAACCCGGGCCGCACGCATGCTAGGCGAGCGTGCTACCGCTTGAGCCACATCCCCAGCCCGTCTCTGCCATGTCTTCATGTGGCCTTTTTCTCTCTGTGTGTCTCGGTCGCCTCTCATAAGGACACCAATCAGATTGGTGTCCGCTCCATCCCAGTGTGACCTCATCTTAACTGATTATGTCTGCAAAGTTCCAATATTCAAATAAGGTCTTACCAGAGGTTCTGGCATCTGACCCTGTCACACACTGGATCACAACAGTGGCCCCCAGAGGGGCCTGGCCAACTAGGCTGGCCGGGGCTCCTAGGATGGCCACACATGGCCCAGGCACCCAGGCCCTGTCTAACCTGGACACTGTCATGGGACCAGAGCCCTGAGAGGCTCTTGCCCCCAGGGCCGGCTCCCAGGCTTCACTCAGGACCCTGCAGAGGGTCCTCGGCTGCTTTAACCCTCGTTTCTCGCCACCTTTCGTGAGCTAACTATGCCATTAACTTAGGCAAAACGTCTTTCCACAATGTCAGAGTTCATCAAATGACAAATTCACAGGCGGGAAGCAGGTGTGGGTCAGCTGGTAGTCATAAACTGGACAAACAGGTCTTTTATTCCAGTCTTAACATTTTTTTTTTTTTTTGGTGGTACCAGGGATTGAACTCAAGGGCACTCAACCACTGAGCCACATCCCCAGCCCATTTTTGTATTTTATTAGAGATAGGGTCTCACTGAGTTGCTTAGCAACTCACGAAATTGCTGAGACTGGCTTTGAACTTGCGATTCTCCTGCCTCTGCCTCCAGAGCAGCTGGGATTACAGGCGTGTGCCTCCACGCCTGGCCTCCAATCTTAATTTCTAATATGTAAAACGTTCAAGTCACACATCGTACGTACTTCACACGGTGACATATAAATGGTCACAGAAACACTAAGAAAGGGTTAAGGCAGCCACAGGGTGACAGGATGCTGAGCACAGGCAGAGAGAGATATGAGTGCAGAGTCACTGTAGGTGGCCAGATAAGGGTTTTAACAAGGCAGGTCCACAGAGTGCTCAAAGCAGAGGGTCCTGACAGGTGGCAGTTTCCGTTTCAGAGAGTCAACTTGAAGCGGGTCACTCGTGGTCATCACAGGCAGGAGAAAGCACGTTCTGCTAAAGCCTGACGGGGACAAGAAATCAGAAGTTCATCCCTGTGGCGATTATCCTGGGCAAGTCTCATAAGGAGTGACCAGGTAACAGGGTCAGGGGATGCTGTGATCAGCTTAAGGGTCTTAGTGAGGGATTCACATCTGCTGACAGTGAAAAGCTCAACTTGGGTGGGTTCCTGATTTGGGACGTCCCTGTGTGCAGCTACTCCTTGGTTTAGTTTGACGAGTTGGTACATATATGTTATTCATCAATTTGCACTTGTGATTGTACAGGCAGATGGTGGTTGTTTACTTGTAGAAAAAAAGTGTGGAGTCATCCTACCTTAGCTCTACTCAAAATGGAGGAGCTCATAGCAAACTAGTGTTTTACAAAATGAAATACAAAGGTTTAGGCACAGCTGAAGGCTACTGTTCTACACATAAGAGTACCTTCAAGCAGGGCAGGCCTGCACTTTCACATTCATTTTACTTTTCCTTTTTTTGGGGGGGGTTGCTGGGGACAGAACAAAGGGCACTTTCCCACTGAGCTACCTCCACAGTACTTTTTATTTTTTGAGGCAGGCTCTTGCTAAGGTGCTCAAACTTGTGAACCTCCTGTCTCAGCTTCTGGGATTATAGGTGTGCATCATCATGCCCTCCTGAAATTTTAAATACTTTTTATAGCAAGGACCCCATGTTTTTGTGGTACACAAGGTTCCACAAATAATGTAGCTGACCTTGCCTGTCTCTCATCCAAAATGCCCAGATCATAAGTCAAAGTCAGGATGAGGAAGTGTTCTAGGTTAAGGGAGACCAAAGAGGATAACTAAATGCAGCTCCCACCAGGATCCTGGATTGGGATGGAGGGACAGTTAGAAAGGACATTACAGGGACAACAAGTATTATCAATGCAAAACGTCCTAATTTCACTTGTCCAGCAGCACACACCTGTAATCACAGCAGTTTGGGAGGCTGAGGCAGGAGGATTGTAAGTTCAAAGCCAGCCTGAGAATCTTAGCCGAGCACTTAGCAACTCAGTGAGACCCTTTCTCTAAATAAAATGTAAAGAAGGGTTGGGGATGACTCAGTGTGGTTTAATCACAGCAGTTTGGGAGGCTGAGGCAGGAGGATTGTAAGTTCAAAGCCAGCCTGAGAAACTTAGCCGAGCACTTAGCAACTCAGTGAGACCCTTTCTCTAAATAAAATGTAAAGAAGGGTTGGGGATGACTCAGTGTGGTTAAGCACCAAAGGAAAAAAAAAAAAAAAAAGGAAAATGTCATAGTCCTGGAAGGTCGTAGTGAAGTATTGAGGTAAAGGACCGTGTCTGCAACATAGCTGCAGTTTTGCTCAGGAAAAAAGGTGTATGAATAAAGTAACACTATTAAATAGGGCAAACGTTAACAATTGAGAAATCTGAGCAAACTGTATAAGGGAGTTCTTTATAATTTTTTTTTTAAATAAAGAGGAAACATCAACTTATTCGGCTATTTCAAAGAATAGAGCTTAGTTTTCATAGAAGTGGAGTTCATGCAGAGGTAATGTTTTACTTTTACCTCTGTTGTCACTATCTAAGGAAGACCTTAAATTAGACTCCAACCAGGGATTTCCAGAGAGCCACCATCATCACTCATTTGTGTGTGTGTGTGTGTGTGTGTGTGTGTGTGTGTGTTCAGTTGTCCTTGGACCTTTGTTTTTCTTACTTTGATGTGGTGCTGAGAACCGAACCCGGTGCCTCACCCGGGCCGGGCCACGCTCTACCACTGAGCCCCGCAGCCCTCCTCACTCGTGTTGAGCACCTGCCAGGTCCTCGCTGCAGGGTAGGAGGGCTGGGGTCTCCCACGCGGGTGCAGAGGCGCTGAGGGCGGGACTGAGACGTAGGAAAGGACGCGGCGCGGGGAACAGGGTCCTCGGGAACCAGACCGGGGGTCCGCCGGCGCCGGCTCCCGCTGCAAGGGCTGCTGCCCTGTCGACTCGGCCCGACCCGCCCGGATTTTAAAAGAGCCCGCACGTCCTGGGAAGAGCGTTCTCGCGAGAACAGGAAGGAGCTGAGCCGTCCCGAGGGGGAAGCCGCCACCCGAGGGTCTCGAGTCACGTGAGGCGGGCCCACGTGACCGGAGGCCCGACCTCCAACATGGCGCCGCCCACGGGTCGAGGGCTTCTCTTCCTGGTCGCGCTGCTCGGCTTCCTCGGGGCAGCGTCCGGCGGCCTTGGCGCTGGGTGAGTGGGCTGGCCGGGCGGGCGGGCGCGGCGCGGGGACCCCTGCCCTCCGTGCTCACCTGTGCGTGCCCGCAGGGCCTCCCGCGACGACGACCTGCTGTTGCCCTATCCCCGCGCGCGCGCGCGCCTCGCCCGGGACTGCACGCGGGTCCGCTCCGGCAGCCGCGAGCACGAGAGCTGGCCCCCGCCCGCCGCGAGCCCCGGCGCCGGCAGCCCGAGCGTGCGCGCCTTCGTCTCGCACTTCAGCGGGCGCGCGGTGGCCGGCCACCTGACGCGGGTCGCCGCGCCCCTGCGCACCTTCTCCGTGCTGGAGCCCGGCGGGTCCGGAGGCTGTTCCGAGAGGCGCCGCGCCACGGTGGAGGAGACGGCGCGGTCCGCCGGCTGCCGCGTCGCCCAGAACGGCGGGTTCTTCCGCATGAGCACGGGCGAGTGCCTGGGGAACGTGGTGAGCGACGGGCGGCGGGTGAGCAGCTCCGGGGGGCTGCAGAACGCGCAGTTCGGGATCCGCCGCGACGGGACCCTGGTCACCGGGTGAGGAGGCACGGAGCTCCGTGGCTGTCGAGGGCAGAGGGCCTGAGATTTGGGTTGTAGTTCTGCAGCTGTGTTCAAGTCACCTAACCGGACTGAGCCTCCTTTTCCTCCTCTGCAGAATGGGGATAGTAAAGCGGCTCTCGCTGTGTCTTTGAGTGCTTGTTCCACGTGAGGCAGTGTGACGTGCCCTGGGGGGGATAGCAGTGGAGAGCACTCACGCTTTTGCCTTCCTTAACAGACCGTCCCCGTTACTAAGAAAAGTAAACCAAGGTCAGGTAAATAGTGAAGATGAATTCAGATTCAAACCATCAGGGTGAACCCACCATAGTTGGAAATTGGGTTTTTTAGGTAGGGTGGTGAGGAATAGGCCTGAGAAAGTGACCGTGGACTTGAGACCTGAGGGTTGATCAGCCAAGGTCAGAACTCAAGAAAAAGCATTCCAAGCAGAGGGAACAGCAGGCACAAAGGCTGAGAGGTGCCTGTGTGTGAGGGACCCACAAAAGGAGCCTGTTATCAGAGGGTGACAGACTGATTAAGACTAACTCTGGGGGAGCTGGGCAGAGGCTGGATTGGGGAAACAAGGAGGCCAGTTGAGAACCTGTTACAGGCACGAGGGGTAGCTTTGCTGGAGTGACAGCCTAGAGATTGAAGGCCACCCATGGATTTGAGATTGATGGGGTGGCTTTTTCTATTAAGTGAAGTATAGACTGTTTGCAGAGTTGTGACAGAACCCTGCCCAACTTCAGTCCTGTTGGTCTTGGCTGTTAGAACAGGAGGATTCCACAGAGTTGCAGAGCACCATAGCTATGCTCAGGTGCAGGCCCTTCCTGGGGCAGGAGGAAGAATCAGGGAGCTGGGATGAGGAGGGAAGGGGAAAGCAGCCCCACCACCCACGGGTAGCCCAGTTGGTGAGTGAGCCTCACGCCTTCCCTGGGTCCAGGTACCTGTCTGAGGAGGAGCTGCTGGACACTGAGAATCCATTTGTGCAGCTGCTGAGTGGGGTTGTGTGGCTGATTCGCAATGGAAGCATCTACATCAATGAGAGCCAGGCCACCGAGTGCGATGAGACCCAGGAGACAGGTGAGGGGCGAGGAGGCGGACAGTGTGGGGAAGGGGAGGCTGGGCAGCAGCTCTCTTGAGAACCAGACATGGGAGGACCTATTTTTAAGACTTTAGACAAGTGTTTATTTAGCAGCTAGTTTGTGCTTCATGATATCTTAAAGAGACAATTATGATAAACTGAAAAGAACCGAGCGCTAAGAAAGAAAAAGTTGGGAGAAAGGGACAGGATATTCGTGGATCAGCAACCTCAGCATCATCCAGGAGCTTATTTAAATACAAAGCCGTGAGCCCACCCACCTCCTACCTACAGCCTCAGGATCCCTGGAGGCGATGTCCAAGGGTCTGTGCTTTAAGAACCACCCCCCACCTTGGTGATTCTAATGGACACTCAGGTTTGGGAGCCACTGGAGAGCAGGCTAGTGGAGTGGAGAAGGGGATGCCCTGGCCCTGACTTGAGGTCTATCTTAGGGTGGGCAGTCAGGGAAGGCTTCACTGAGGAGGTGCTCTTAGAACAGAAGGGCAAGCCATGGGAGGAACTCAGGAGGAGGAGGTTCTCAGTGAGCGGGACAGGAAGTGCAGTGTTCCTGAGGAGAAGTGACTGGGGGCTGGTGAAGGTTGTCCCAGGAGATGAGGCAGGACAGCCCTGGAGAGGTCATGCAGCCTGGGATTTTGTTCTGAGTAGTGGAAGTCATTCAGGGGTTCCTGCTGGAGCTCACCCCTCCTGGGGTGCCCTGAAGACAAGCCTTCAGGCTGTGGCATGGACACTGACTGGGACAGGGCAGATGGGAGGCCGAGAGACCAGTGAGGCAGCCATCATGCATCCAGGGGACAGGCCAGGCGGCCTGGACCTGGAGGTGGAGAGTGGCAGGAAGTAGGACAGAGCCCAGAAGGCCTCTGAGGGGCCGGGTGGTCAGCCAGGCTGCCTCTCCTCCAGGTTCCTTTAGCAAATTTATAAATGTGATGTCGGCCAGGACAGCTGTGGGCCATGACCGTAAGGGGCAGCTGGTGCTCTTCCATGCAGACGGACAGACAGAGCAGCGTGGGTAAGTTCCAGAAACTAGGGCCTCCAGACCTAGGCGGAGTCTGCTTTGAGAAACCTCAGCGCACTGGCAGTCATCCTGACACAACCATTTTCAGACATGTCCACACCCTCTGTCCTGCCTTCTGACAGGAGGAGGGACCTAGGTCTCCTCAGTTCCCAGAACTTCTCTCCTCCACACACTTCATCTCAGTCCCTCAGTGCTAGGGTCCCTTCCAAGCCCAGTCGGCCACAGGATTAGCAGGTGAAGACCTTGGCTCCGGTTCCAGCTCAGTGTGGCCAACTCTGTGGCTTTAGGTAAGTTACTCAGCCACTCTGAGCTGCAGGTTCGTCCTCCACAGACAAAGTGTAGCATTACTACTGCTGCGTAGCAGATTAGCACAAGCATATCAGCCTAAGCAGTGATCCCAGTTCTTTCTGTAGGTTAGAAATCAGAAACGCTAGACTGAGAATATTCTGTGTCCCAGGACCAAGTCAAGATGTGGGGGCTTTCATCTGGAACTTCTGGGAAAGAGTCCTCTTCCAGGCACATTTGGGTGCTTGGCAGAATACTTCTGTGCAGGACTGAGCCTTTGTTCCCTTGCTGGTCCCCAGCTGGGATCCTTCAGCTTCCTGAATTGTCCTCCTCATGAGAACCCTCCCCAGTCTCCAGGCCACAGAGGTGTGTCCAGTCCCTCTCGTCCCCCTGTATGTCACATGGCTTTCACTTCCTCCTCTGCTGCCAGCCGGAGAGCTCTCTGCTTGTAAGGGCTCCTGTGGTTTCCCTGGGCTTACTCAGGGAAGTCGGGATGTCCCCCGAAAGGACACTTGGGCCACCTGACAGCATGATTACGGGCATGAAGCCTCATATTCACAGCTGCCCAGGATTAGGGCGGGCGTTGCTGGGGGCCTGTTTAGAGATGTACCTGCCCTAGCGGGCACGATACCATGCACTGTCAAAGGCAAGAGGAGTTGCGCTCAGTGGCACTGTTCTTGTGCTGCAGCATCAACCTGTGGGAGATGGCTGAGTTCCTGCTGAAACTCGACGTGGTCAACGCCATCAACCTGGATGGAGGTGGCTCTGCTACCTTTGTGCTCAACGGGACTTTGGCCAGTTACCCGTCAGATCATTGGTGAGGGCACAGAGCCTGCCTCTGACTGTCTGGTTCAGCCAGTGAATGTGAGCGTAAGACTCAGGATCCCCACCCTGGGATCTGCCCACGCCCTTGAGCAGGGGCCAGTTGAGAAAGATCTCCCTGCAAATGGTGAATAGGAGCAGAGATTGAGGGTGAGGAGGTGGCTGGGGGTGGGGGCGGGGCTTCCAGGCAGAGGACACAGCAACACCACGGCGCTGGGTGGGAAGGTTGGCAGGGATTGAGGAGGAGCCTGTAAACAGCCAGAAGGTGAGACGGGGTGGGGGGAGCCCTCGTTGGCTGGGGACTTGAGAGACCTGCTGGGCCAGCACTGTGGCCCCTTCTCATCCTCTTCATCCCCCCTGCAGCCAGGACAACAAGTGGCGTTGTCCACGGCATGTGTCCACCGTGGTGTGTGTGCATGCGCCCTCCTGCCAGCCACCGGACTGCAGCGGCCATGGGACCTGTGTGGAGGGCCGCTGCGTGTGCACGGGGCCCTTCTGGCGAGGCGCTGCCTGCAGCGAGCTGGACTGTGGCCCCTCCAACTGCAGCGGCCACGGGCTGTGCACGGAGAGTGAGTGGGGGCCTGGGGGCCTGGGGGCCTGACGGGGTCCGTCTTCCCAGTGCCTGGCCTGACCTCTCACCTGGCCTCCTGGCTCTTGTCTTGGCAGCCGGCTGCCACTGCGATGCTGGATGGATGGGGTCCAACTGCAGTGAAGGTGAGGCCACCGGCCGCCCCTGCCCGCTGGCCCTTGGGGAGAGGGAGCTGCTCCGCTGCCTTTGCCCCGCCCTCCATCTGGGAAACTGCTCTCGCCGCATGTGTGAATCCCTGTCTGATTTCCTGTGGCTGTTGGACACCACCAGGCAGGTGGCCAGGAGAGCAGAAATGTGTCCTCTCACAGTTCTGGAGACTGGGACTCAAAACCCAGGTGTGGGCAGAGCCACACCCCTCCTCCTGTCCCTGGGAAGCAGCTGCTGGGGGCTCCTGGTCCCTGGGCTTGGGGCAGCAGCACCTGTCTCGGCCTCCCTTGCCCACGGCCACTTCCCTGTTCTGTCCAGTCTGCTCTCTCAAGAACCTGGAGTTGTCTGCTTTGGGACCCACCTTAAGTCCAGGATGATGTCTTCTTGAGACTCTTAACTTAGTGACTCTGCAAAGACCCTGTTTCCAGATAAGGTCACCTTCAGGGACTGGCCTGGGAGGAGCAGGGGCCGACCACACCGTGTCCTGCAGAAGGAGGCCCTGGCCCCTGAAGCCTGATCCTTGTCCTCCCTTCTCCTCTCGGCAGAGTGTCCCCTTGGCTGGCATGGTCCAGGCTGCCAGAGGCCTTGCCAGTGTGAGCACCAGTGTCCCTGCGACCCACAGACTGGCAACTGCAGTGTCTCCCGAGGTACAGGGCCTCCCGGGGCCCCCAGATGGGAGGGCAGGCCTTTGTTCCCCAGCCCTGAGCCTGTCTCTGGTTTCTTTACAGTGAAGCAGTGTCTCCAGCCACCCGAGGCCACCCCGAAGGCAGGAGAGCTGTCCTTTTTCACCAGGTGAGTGCTTCAGTGGACTGAGGGAGGCCAGGACATGGTGTCTGCTCACCCTGGTGGTGTGTCTCCATTGCAAGCACAGGGCGGTGGCAGCTGACCGCAGCCACTCGACAGTCCAGAGAGCTGTGAGAGCGCCTGGGCCACCACGCTGGTGGGAGTGGAGGAGGCCTGTGGCTCCATCGCCCTGGCTGCAAAGACTGGGGACTCTTTTTCCCAGCTCAGACTCTGCTGAACATGAGGTCCTGTCCCTCTGGGCCTCAGTGCTCAGGGCGAGCTGCTGCTGCCTTTCTCTGTTCTATCCCTGGCCTCAACCCCGAGGGCTTGGTCCAGAGACTTCTGCCCCGCCCCCACGGAGGTCTTGGGCAGAGCCAAGAGCCTCATTTCCCCATGATCCTGGACGCTGCTCTCCTCTCCTTGAGGCCCTCTCTCCTGTTGGTTGTCACCTTGATAGCCCAGTCCTGGGCACGTGTGTCCCCCAACTCTGGAGGTGGTTGTCACCTTGATAGCGTAGTCCTGGGCACATGTGCCCCCCAACTCTGGAGGTGGTTGTCACCTTGGTAGCCCAGTCCTGGGCACATGTGCCCTCCAACTCTGGAGGTGGTTTTCACCTTGGTAGCCCAGTCCTGGGCACGTGTGCCCCCCAACTCTAGAGGTGGTTGTCACCTTGATAGCGTAGTCCTGGGCACATGTGCCCTCCAACTCTGGAGGTGGTTGTCACCTTGATAGCCCAGTCCCAGGCACTGATGCTCCCTTGACGGGAGGTGGCGTTGGTGTGAAAGCAGAGCTCCTCCGGCCTTGTCCTAGAGGGAGCCAGAAGCTCCTCAGAAGGGCACATGGCAGGTCCCCCCTGGAGTCCTGACTTAGTGAGTCTGAGGGTCCAGACCTGGAGGCCCAGGATTACGTCACTGGAGGTGCAGTCTGAAATGCACCAGGGCAGGGACAGGCGGAGGCCCTGGAATCCCAGCTGCAGGTCCAGGCTCCTGCAGAAGTGAGACTCCAAGCCTCACTGCCCTGCCGACCTGAAACCCAGCAGCACCTGGCGGCCAGGGAAGGGAAGTGGGGGACTGGCGGGCGGGGCTGCAGTCCCCTGAGCATCTGCAGGTGGATGCTTGTGCCCTGAGGGCTGCAGCGTGAGACCTGAAGACCGTCATCCAAAGACCCAGCCTGTTCTTTGCCAGCTCCCCAACCTGGAAAGGGACGGCTCTCCCTGCTCTGCCTGCACAGCCCAGCCTTGATTGCCAGTGTCCCCTGGAGCACAGCTTGTCGACTGAGGCCTCTCGGGCAGGAAGTGTCCTCCCTGGTTTTATCTGGCACACAACTTGGCGGCTAAGATATAAGCCATACCTGACCAGACTCAGTGGTGTACTCCTGTAATCACAGCAGCCTGGGAGGCTGAGGCAGGAGGATTACAAGCCAGCCTCAGCAATTTAGCAAGGCCCTGTCTCAGTAAGATAAAGGGCTGGGGATGTGGCTCAGTGATAAGTGCCCCTGGGTCCAATCCCCAGTACCAAAATAATAGTGTGTGTGTGTGTGTGTGTGTGTGTGTGTATGGATGGATGGATGGATGGATAGATAGAAAGAATCTGAAAATGAGTAATATTCATGTTTTTCTTTAAGTTATTTATTTTTATTTGGTGCTAAGAATCAAACTCCGTGCTTCACTCATGCTTCTGCCACTGAGCTACAGCCAAAAGTTTATGTACTTTATTTTAGTTGTTAATGGACTCTTTATTTTTATTTTATTTATATGTGGTGCTGAGAATCGAACCCAGTGCCTGACACATGCTAGGCAAGTGCTCCGCCCCTGAGCCCTAGCCCCAAACCATCATTCAAAAGTTTTAATGGTTTGAAGTATCGGGGGATTTGGGCCCACAGCCACCGCCTCTGTTGCTCAGGCACAAGTCTTCATGTCCCCGTCCTCCCCCACCCCACCCATCTGGCTCGGTGCTCCTAGGTCTGGAGTGTGGGAACCCTCCCCTGCTTCTCTGGCCTGAACCCCCGGCAGCCCCTCTCTCTCCACCCAGGACCACCTGGCTGGCCCTCACCCTGGCCTTGGTCTTCCTGCTGCTGCTCAGTGTTGTGGCCAACGTGTCCTTGCTGCTTGGCTCCAGAGCAGAGAGGAAACGGCACCTGGACGGGGACTACGTGTACCACCCACTGCAGGAGATGAATGGGGAGCTCCTGGCCTCGGAGAAGGAGCAGGCTGGGGACACCCATGACCCCTTCAAGGACTGACCCCAAGCTGCCCCAGTGGCCTGTCCTGGAGGATTGTACTGTCCACCCGGACCAGCTTCTGCAGGAGGGATTCTGAGGCCGCCGACGTGGACCCTGCAGATGCCTGAGCGCCAGCACTATGGCCAAGCTTCCATGGCACCTGTGCCACCTCCCACCTGGCCCTGGCCTGCGCCCACCTGTCCGCCTGCCATGGCACATGCAACCCCAGCAATCCAGGGCTGCCCGGAAGACTGCTTCTCCTCCCCCGCCTGCCTGTGTCTGCTGCCCGAGAGGCCTGTCCTCCTGGAGGGCCTGTGCACTGCCAGAGTCCCCCGCATCCTGGGGACAGGGCCCTGGTGAACCTGTGTTCAGTTCCTGTCCCCACAGGGTGGAGTCAAGGGATCAGCCTGCCTTTCTGGTCACGTCACAGAGCCCCTTTCTGCAGACTCGCGATTTGCCGGCTGGAACTCTGTTCCTGTCCTAGGAGCCCTCAGGGAGAGCTGGGAGGGATGAGATGGGGCCAGGCCGGGTCATCCTGCCTCCAGAAGGTTCTCTCCCTTGAATAAACGGGTATCCTGAAGGGAGCCGCCAGGGGGCGTCTGAGGTCTGACTCCCGGAGCTGGCCCCTGGGTCTGAGCAGACGGGGATTCTGAGCCTGCCGCCCCCAGGGTCAGCCTGAGCCTGAGTGGCTGTGTTGACGCTGCGTGCCGACTGTGCACACCGTGGCTGGGGACTTGGTGAAACCAGACCCGAGCTGGGTGGGCCCGGGTGGTGCTGGCACTGCAGACCTGGACCGTGGTTGACGTGGGGTTTGGCCTGGCCCTGCTGTCTTGTGGAATTTACTTTAGTCACCCAGGTCAAGGTCACAAACTCCAGACTCTGGTTTCCTTACAAGAGGGCACCAGCAACCCTGGCCAATGCACGGGTGAGGATTTGGAGTGGGGACAGGCCACAGGTCTGGGCTGCCCTGCCCGCCGGCCGCTGCACCAGCAGCAGTGTCTGCCCCGCTGTGAGTAGGTCTTTCACTTCTGAAGGCCTTCGGTGGGCCCAGGGCCCTGTCAGTGTCACTGCGCTTCACAAGCCCTTTATGGGAGGGTTGGGGCACAGCTTTCAGCAGGTCCTCTCGCAGTCCCCAGCATGGCCCGAGTCACCTGCTGAGCAGCCATCCGCCCCAGAACTTCGCAGCACAGAATGGCCAGGTGCTGCTGCTGTCCTCTAACGTCACTGCTGATGCCAGGGTCCCTGGCGGGCTCCAGCAACCTGCGCCAGGGTGGGTGTCTGGTGGGCTGATGGACCAGGCCGGGGCTGCCAAGGCAGCAGCTCACAGCTGGGCTCTGCGGGGCGCCTGGTCCTCCAGAGGAGGCAGGTCCCGGAGGGAGGAGGGGTATCCAGAGCTGCTCTGACCTCGCCTGGCCACCTTCAGTCAGGGCAGGTCACCGCGAGTCGGGATCCTGGCGCGTGCCTAAGAGCAGTTCCGAGACCTGGCTGCAGGTGGGATGCCCTCTTCTGGAGCGCCCTGCAGTTGCAGGCTCTCGACTGTCGAGACCCACTGAGTCCAGACACACAAGTGGGAAAGAGGATGTGAAGTCCCAGGAGCAGCCCCAGGTGCGAGAGGCAGCAGCAGAAGTGATGGGCAGCCCCGAATGACCCTTGGCCTGCAGGGGACACCTCTTGGTCCTTGCTGGGCCGCCAGCTCTTGGGCGAGGGACAGTGCTGTGCTTTGTGGGACCCGGGCCCAGAGGGAGACGGCAGCCCCTGAACAGAGCCAGGCATGGTGAGCTGGAGCGGTCCCCAATTAAGTGAGGACACACTGGGCAGTCCGGCCCCTGGGTTGTCCCTGCAGAACTTTAAACGCTTTGTCACAGGGACATCTATTGCCTTTTCCGGCCTCACTTCCAGTTCCTCTTCTTTCAGTAACAGCCCTGTCTTAGGCTGGATGCTCCCGAACCCTGGGCAGAAATCGAACCAGGAGATGGGAACAAGTGGTTTGGTTCAGGTCACCAGGAAGCTCTGGTGGGGACGGGAGGGCACGGTGGGGAAGAGGCGCAGCCCTGCTGGGACCCTCCACAGAACAGAGCTGCCTCGCGCCTTGGGGTCCACCCAGGGCAGGGGAGCACTGTCTACCAGCAGGGCTGCTCCTGGGGGTCCCCGCCTGGGCGCTTCCAGCTGCCCCCCCCCCCGAACTGCGAGCTCCAGCCAGAGGGAGCAGAAGAGGTGCAGTGGTCCCCTGCACCCGAAGCCGGCGCTGCCTCTCCCCCTTGGCCACCAGGTGGTGTCGTGGGCACTATGTGCCCCACTCCTTCAAGGCAGGCCTTGGGATCAGCCAGTCGGAGCCCACCCCGGAACCTCTGCTGGACTTGTCCAACTTCCAGGGTGTGAGCCGCATGGAGGAGAGCAAAGCAGCTCTACCCAGTGTCAAGAAGACGAACCACAAAATGGGGAGAGCCAGGCAGTGTGGAGGGGACGGGGGGGGGGGGAATGTGAGCCCCTGGGTCCAGCCATACCTGACTTCCAACACGGAATGTGGACCAATAAAGTTTCGTTTTTGTTTGGGGCAGTTTGTGTTGGGTGCTCTTGCAACCCAAAAAGTGTGACACTCATGCTGTCACAGGACAGGCACATTTTTTGACACAGGCATAGCGTCATTGGAGCATGAGCAGGAGGCAAAGCAGTGTCTGGGATGCTGGCACCTGGGGGGGGGCACACAGGGCACTAACACCAAGGACCCCTCTGTGATCTCGGTGTTAGGAAGACCCCAGAGCAGAGGCACAGACTGCCTCAGAGCCCCAGGCCCTGTGTGCGGACGGTGACCTTGGTGACATGCTAGTGGCTGAGCCCTCACAGAACCTCACCTCAGCGGAGACCCCACAGAGTCACTGATTGGCGGCCCCTGAGCAGCGCTGAGGGCCCCCCAGAGCCCTGAGATGGGTGGGAACGGGAGCCTCTACGCCTCCCTCCAGGTTCTCGGGGGATCCGCGTTTTAAAAAATCTTGACTCCCTAAAATGAGCTCAAGCTCTGAAACTCTGCTTCCCTAACCGTCCTGCGGGTCCCGCCTGGGCAGGGGGGCCAGGAGAAAGGCACAGCCTCCCCGACTTCCAGCCCTTCCCAGGTCCCGAGGGTCTGTGCCCCAGGGACAGCCTCTGGGCCTCGCGGGACCCCTGGGTGTGTTTTGGCCTCTCAGGCCCAGGCCCCAGGAGGCCTCCCGGGAGGAGCAAAGGCCCAGAGACGTCAGCGGTGACACACAGCTCAGCCCTGATCCCAGCTCTGCCCGCCCTCGGGAGCTGTCCCCAGTGCCACTGTCCTATCCCAATACTGCAGCGCCCACAGGTCAGCTGGCCGCCCCTTGAGATCCGTCGCCCACAGTGCAGGAGACACGGTGGAGAAGTCACCGCGAGTGGATGAGCACGCTCTGGGAGCAGGCGACGGCTGTCTCCCCTCACTGCACGTGTAGGGCAGCGCAGGTCCCAGAGCTGGGCAGACAGTGACCCGAGGCCACCGCACCTCCCACTCCCCCAGTGACAGTCCCGGCCTCCAGCTCCAACACGGGGGAGGCTTTTCAGTCCCATGAGGTATACAGCAGCCAGCGCCCTTGGTCCAGTGCCTGGGAGACCCCCCAGGGAAGGGCAGGCAGTGCCCTCAACCTAGGTACAACTGCCTCGAAATGAATAATTAAAAGGAGCCAGGCACAGCTTGGGAGGCTGAGGCAGGAGGATCGCAAGTTCAAAGCCAGCCTCAGCAAAAGAGGAGCTAGGCAACTCAGTGAGACCCTCTCTCTAAATAAGATACAAAAAATAGGGCTGGGGATGGGGCTCAGTGGTCGAGTGCTCCTGAGTTTGATCCCAGTACCAAATAAATAAATAAAAATAAAGAGCTGGGAATGTAGCTCCGTGGTAAAGTTTCGATTCCTAGCTCCAAAATAAATAAATACAAGGACTGCAGGTCCTCACTGTCCCCCGAGTAGCTGAAGAGTGGCAGGTGGAATTCAGGAACCCTGCCCGCAACATCCCAGGTGGCGGTGCTGAGCGAGCCTGGGGAACCCGGGCGCCAGCAGCGTGGATAAACCCCACGCCCGTTTCTGATGGGTCGACCAGCACCCCCAACCCAAGTTCACCCAGAGCCCGGCTGAGAGCTCGTCTGCAGTGAGGGTCTCAGCAGAGACGGCGGCTTCAGCTTTAGATGACGCCCTGCCTCCGTGACCAGTGTCCTCCTGAGAGATGCCGAGGGAAGAAGGCACCTGAGGAGGCAGGTGGGGTGATGTGGCCACCAGGGGAGGCCAGGAAGGACCCTGCCCTGGTCACCGCAGGGAGAGTGATGCCCAGAGGGCACCTGGCTCCAACTCTGGCCTCCAGACCTGGGGCAGAATGAAGGGCTGCGGTCTTGAGCCTCATTTTTTTTTTGAGGGGGGTAATTTGTTCCAGAAGCCCCAGGAAGCTAATGCAGTGTGCCTGAGCTTCACACCTAAGAAGCTGGTCCCTGCGCACCAGTGTGCAAGCCCCCGGTGCCGCCGCTCTCTCCCGGTGTGCAAGCCCCCGGTGACGCCGCTCTCTCCCGGGGTGCAAGCCCCCGGCGACACCACTCTTTCCCAGGGTGCAAGCCCCCGGTGACGCCACTCTTTCCCGGTGTGCAAGCCCCCGGTGACGCCACTCTTTCCCAGGGTGCAAGCCCCCGGCGACGCCGCTCTTTCCTGATGTACAAGCCCCCGGTGACGCAGCTCTTTCCCGAATGCTCTATTTAGTCTTGCAAACAATAGCCAAGGAATCCCTGAACAATCCCTGGGCAAGCGCCAGGCTCAGGGAGAAGACAGTGGAAGTTGCTCCAAGCCTAAAATGGCCAGTGCTTCTGGCTGGAATGACCAGGCACAAGAACAGGCACCTCACCCCCAAAACGGACTCCATTGAAAAGGAGCCATCAGTTCTACAGAGGAGAGGAGCTTCCCCAGAGGGCAGGGTCGGAGAGGAACGACACCACTTATCTCCTTCGGTTGCTGCAAATCGGTTGCCGTTTTGCACGGTGCTGGGGATCAACCCAGGGGCGCTTTACCACTGAGCTACATCCCAGCCTTTTTAAAATTTTTAATCCTGAGGGCCTCGCCAAGTTGCTGAGGCTGACCTAGCTCTTGCGATCCTCCTGCCTCGGCCTCCCCAGTCACTGGGATTACAGGTGTGTGCCATCATGCCCAGCTCAACATCTGGGGAAGACCTCCCGGCTCAGGAAAGCCGCGCAGGGACTAAAGGTGCCCTTTCAGAGCTGTGGTTCTGCCCAGAGAAGGGAAGAGCCGGCTGCACACACCGCAGAAGGCAGCGGCACCCTGGCCTCACGTCCTCTGGAGGCCGGCTGCCTCATGAACACCCGTGAGGGCGCCCACGGTAAGGAGCCCGGACTGGGACAAGAAGCACAAAGAAATCAGAACTACCGCGCACATTTATTGAGCGCTTTCTGTGTTCCAGACGCCGTGCTGGGGACTTTGTGACCACTTTTGTCCCACTACAACCCCATGAGGTAGGCACTGCTGTCCCCAAAATTTACAGATGAGGACACTGAGGCACAGAGAGGTTAAGTCACCTGCTCGAGGTTACACAGCTATGAAAGGAAGGCTGAGCTTTGCACCCTGGTCTAATGGTCACGTGGCCACGGGTCGGCTCTGTCCTGACGGCAAGGGGCTGATGAGCCAGGAGGAGCAAGAAGCCTAAGCCAAGTCCAGCCCTGGTGGCCCGGGGGAGTTTAAAAGCCAGAAGCTGGGCAGTCCCTTCCTTGAGCTACTTTTAATTACAGGCCTCCCCAAGGCAGGGGCAGCCTGCTGCAGAGGCTTCAGCGCAGATTCCAGAGACTTCTACGCAGGACACCACCACGGACGCCTGCTGGTGCACGGAAGGACGGTCCCACGCAGCCCCGTTGCTTCTAGAGGGGATGCCAGTCACGGGACCCCTTGTGCCTTGGGCAGCACGGCCAAGAAGTGAACCTGCCACTTGAGCAGGGTCAGCCAGACTCTTCCACGAGAGCGGAGATGGGGTCGGGAGCCTGTGTGAAGAAGTCTGGGCTCTGGCAGCCCCTTCCTCACCAGGTGGAAGAAAGGAGGCGGCCAGGGTGCAAAGAGGTTAGGGTCAGGAGGCCTGGGTGCAGTCGAGAGGCCTGGGGAAACGGGGCTCCCGCATCCAGCCGTTCCCGGAGCCAATTCCTAAATCCGAGACCCAGGGAATTCCCTTTGTTGCTTAAGCCAGTTTTAGCTGGGTTCAGAGGGACCAGCCAAGAATCCTTGCTGGGAGTGGGGTGGTAGCTCGGAGGTAGAGCACTTGCCTAGCACTCAGAGACCCGTGACCTGTTGCCTTTTGGGGACCCAGGAAAGGAAAGGAACAATGTCCTCAGGTCCCAAGGAGACCCAAGGCAGTAACTGGGGAAAGTCAGGTCAATTTTGGAGCTGGTTCCTGAGTCAGATCTGCCCCAGGGCAGACAATAGCCTCCCCACCAAGAGGAGTCCAAATGCCATGTGGAGACCCTGGATCCAGCCTTACCTGAAGTCAGCCCTGGACTGGACAGGTACTATGAATCCATGAATGGTCACCCTTTTGTGTTTAAGTCACTGAGCAGTGGGTTTCTCTGAGTTACAATTTAAAAAGGTCGTAATGGAACAGCTCCCCAGGACAGAAAGAGGCCTCCAGAGGGGTATGGAGATCGTGTGTGTCACCCCATCACTGCCTAAAACTTGGCAGAAGCCTTGGACTTCCTCACCCTCTTCAAGGCACTGGTGGTCAGGGCTAGGCCCCCAGCAAACCTGGATACGGTCACGGCGAGCCCTGGATACAGCTCCTGGGCCCAGTGGGGACTCAGAGTGCTGCTGTCCCTCAGACACTCAGGGGACCATCCCTTCCGGAGGCCCAGCACCTTCCCCTTCTTGGGGCTTGGGCCAGTATTCCTTGAAGCCCTTGCCTTTTCAGACCGTGTGATTGGCTCCAGCACTGTGCATGTGATCCAGGCTGGCCAATCAATGCGCCGCACCCCAGCTAAGTCACAGTGATTGGTCTAGATTGGGCACATGACCCCAGGACCCGCCTTCTCCAACCCCCAGAAACTCTCCCGGGTTCACGAATGGACGCGGGTCCCCAGCTGGCTGCTGAGAGGCAGTCCTGGGAGGTGGACTGGAACTTCTGGGAGTGAGCGGTTCCCTTCTGGGGGAAGGGACAGTGTGCCTAGCAGGACGGAGACCCTGCTCCGGGGTGGCCCTCCTTAGAAGGAAGCCGACGGGGCCAGCAAGCAAGTGGTGGTGAGGGGCTGCGCCTGGTGCCATGGCTGAGCCCCAGATCCTGCGAGACCCACGGCGCTGAGATGGGCAGGTCTTTTGTGTCCAGAGGGGAGTTCTGTCCTGGCAACCACAGGAGCCCTGAGCTGCACACGGGCCACACTGGCCAAGGATGAGGTCCTCGCTGTCCCGTCCTGACACCCGGCTTTGGGGACCAGAGGTGCAGCCCACGTGGTCCCAGGCCTTGGCCAGCTGCTTCTCATTCTCACTCTTCCAGGTGGCCCAGGCCAGGACCGCGCCTGGCTATCTGGAGACCAGGGAGCTGCCCTGGGACTGGCCGGAGGAGGAGGAGGAGGTGGCGGCACTGAGCTGGGAGAAGCCACTGGTGCAGGATTCCAGGCTGGACATGGAGCCCCTGGGGGGAAGGGCACAAGTCACCCTCTGTTGATGCTGCAGCTGAGCCCCAGGGCTCCTTCCTCAACGCTGCCGACGGCCAGGGCTGCCGACGGCCAGGGCCCGGCCAAGTGCAGAGGGAGAAGCACTTGTCTGTGGAGCTGATCTGTGCCCCCAGTTCCCTGTGCCCCGCTCCCTCAGGACACAGCCCAGCCTTCCACAGACGATCCAGGGGCTTCCCTGCCCTGGATCCCTACCACGGTCCTGGGCCCCCACAGCCCGGGGAGGCTCCGGCCCCACCTCTCACCCCTCACTCCTCGCAGTCGAGCCTGGCCTCCTCCCAGCACCCTGGACACACCTTTGTGGGTGCCGAGCCTCCGGGCAGCACCTTCCCTCTGTCCCAGCTACCTGGTTCACCTGGACTTCAGGTCGGAGCTGCCTGGAGAAGCCTCTGCCCGGCTGAAATGTCCTACCAGTGTGCTGTCCTTGGCAGCAGCCGCTGGCCACTGAGGCCACAGAGTGGCCGGAGCGTGGCTCGTGTGTTCCATTCTACCTGCTGTTCTGCGTTGCCACAGGGGGCTAGCTGCTACGGGGCTGTCCTGGGCAGCCGGAGGGATTTGCTCCTCAACGTGTGTGGGGACCAGCTGCACCCTGGCGCCTGGGGCTTGCTGGGGTCTGAACCAGAATCTATGTGCTGAACAGGCCCCTGGTGACCGATATCACACCCCGTGGCTCTCCACCCAGTGTCACTTCCCAGAGGGTCCCCCCACCGCACCCTCTGCCAGGTCCCTCTCTGTTAAGCCCCCAGCACTTCTTAGCCATGTGGCTTTGGGCCCAGAGCCCAGGCTGGGCGTGGCTTCCCTTCTTCCGTCTGCGCCACACTTCCACGCGGTGGGAGTGCCCCAGTGCCAGACCCAGGAGGGCAGCAGGAAGTAGCCCTGGACTGATCTCTCATGAGGTCACTGAAGGACTCTTACACTGGTGCAGGGCGCCCAGCCCGCCCCGTCTCCACGCGTCCCCCTGGGGGCCCTCCAGCACCTCCTTCCCAGGGCCAGGTGCACCCGGCTTCCTGCAGGGCTTCGTGAGGAGGGCAGGCTCTGCGGCTGAGCGGGCCTGACCAGGGCTCCTCAAATCCCTGCTGAGCCTACCCTGGAGGAACTGGCCCACCGCTAGGGCAGAGCCCGGGAGCCCCAGGAGGACGCCACGCCCAGCACTGCAGGGCCAGCCCGCCCTGGCCAGGCCCGACCCACCTGAAGTCCTCGGAGGCGAGCACCTCGCAGTAGTAGAGGAGCTTGCACCTGGGGCCCGGGCTGTGCAGAGCGGTCAGGACATCGCCCGGGAGGCTGCAGGCCATGCTGCCAGGGGGGCTGTGCACTTGCCACTGGAGCAGGTAGACCCCAGGCCACCTGGTCACATGGGAGCCCTGAAACACAGCAGCCATGCTCTGTGCGGGGAGAGGGGGAGAGGGGCCGAGCCTTCGGGTGGCCAGGCCTGGAGAGAGAGGCTCTTGCCCTCTGTCCCCTCTGCAGTGCACCAGCAAACTGTCCTACAAGGACCTCCCGAGGCCGTCCCTGCGGCTGCCCCACATCCTGGGACCAGCTCAGTGGGTCTGCAGACCAGGAGGATTTAGAGAAGGGCGGGGGCTCTCGGGTGCTTCCGACAGGTGGCGGGGGGGGGGTGTGAGAGTGTGCAGGGCGGTGTTAGTTGTTAGAAGGCGACTCTCAGGAGGGCTAGAGTGTTTAGAGTGTTAGGGGGATCACGGGGTGGTGGGCGGAGGGCTCAGGGGGCAAGTGTGAGTGCGGGGGCAAGGTGTGACATGCAGGCAGCAAGGCGTGACGTGCACCGGCCCTAGGCCTGTGGAGCTGGCCTGTGCCCTTGTTCTCCCTGCCGCCCGGCTACATTGGTGGTTGAGCACCTGCTACGGGGACACCATGATCTCTCCCCTGCTGTCCTGCCAGGTCCCTGAGGCCAGGGGCACGTCTGGTTTGTCCTGCTGTATTCTCCCGCAGCCCAGCAGGGGGTGGCCGTCCAGTACGGCGGGATGAAGGAGCAAGTGACCCACGGGAGTGCCAACCTGGATGCTCTCCCCCTCCCGGCAGACCAGTGGAGCCTCCACGCGGCTGTAATCCGTGCCTAGGACCCAGCCTTTGTCCACCAGCTGCCCGCTGGCCCTGGCCCCAGGCTCCCGCGGGCCCGGCTTGAGCGCCTGCTTGGTGTGGTACAGGCTAAAGACCACGTCCCCTCGCAGGATGTCGAAGTCCCAGGTGATGACCGACTCCCCTTCCAGGATCTCCAGCGCGACCTGTGTGGGGACAGAGCAGCTCTGGGAGTCCCAGGGGACGGGACAGCTGGGAGTGGGCATGGGAGGTGCGGTGGGTGCTGCAGGGGTCTTGCCCCCCGTCCCAAGGTCGGCCTCCTGGAGGGCAGAAGGGGCTGCTAAGGCTCCTCCGTCCCTCGTCTGGGAACTTCTCTCAGAAAGGCCTGGGAGGTTCCACCCTGGGATGACCGGGGGGCCCGGGAGGGGACGGCACTCAGGCCTGGCCCCTTATTCTCAGCAGGCCATTCATGACCTCTTCCCCTTCCGGAGCTCCCTGGGTCAGGCTGAGGCCCAACGGCTGACGTCACCTCTGGGTTTCGATCCCCCCACACCCGCCTGCGAGGACCTGGCCTAGGGTGACGGCCCAGGGCCCTCCCTGCCAGGCCCCAGCACCTCGTGGGGCGCCCCGCGGAGCACGCTGGCCGAGTGGTAGGTCTCGCTCCACTGCTGCAGCTGGTCGGCCTGCTCCTGCTCCTCCTCGGTCAGATAGAGGGACTTGGGGACCAGTCCTCCTTCAGGGACATTACACTGGGGGTCACAGACAAAATGGGTGGCAGGTCAGGGTCCTGGAGGTTGGCCGGCCTGAGCCACCGAGTCCTGTGAGCCCTGAGACAGCCTAGAACAGTGACCCCGTTTGTCCCCCAGAACCTCCGCAGGGTCGGGACGGTTTCCCCACATCACAGAGGAGGGAAATGGCAGCTCAGAGAGGGAAGACCGGTTGTCCAAGATCACAGAGCACAGGGTGGCTGCTCAGGGCACAGGGCACGCTCCTGAGAGTCACACTCAGATCCCCCCCACACAGCTGGCGGGGATCGGGGACCCTCCCCCAGCACCCCTTCAGCTGTCAGGTGGACCCATCAAGGTACGTGGGTTCTGCAGATTCCCAAAGCCAAAGGCCCCCGGGCGGCTGGGCCTCGGCAGACCCTCTGCCATCCCAAACCGTGATGCCCATCTCACTCCAGGGGGAGGCCACAGCAGGAGGCGAGGTCAGGCAGGCCGGCGGAGCCCAGGAGGCCTACTGTGCGCTGCTGGGTGAACAGAGAGGGCGAGCCCGCCCGCCTGCAGGAAGGGGCTGGGACTCGGGGTCTCCCTGCCCGGCAGCCCACCGCAGGGGGCAGCGGCCTGGTCAGGGCAGGTCTGGGCGCACCAGCTCCAGGGCAGGGCCGTGGGCACTGGGTGTCACCACCCTGCGTGGAAGGGCTCAGAGGAGCCCGGCTGCTGAGCAACCTCTGGGGACACGGAGGGTCTGGGGACTGGCCTGGTCCCTGGGCTTCTGGAAGATGCTGCCTCACTGTGTGAAAGAGCCAAGGGCAGGTGTCGCCTCTCTGGGCAGCTTCTGAAACATGCCCCGTGCCCACTCGGCGGCCTGGCTTGCAGGGGACAGCACGGCGGCCACCCAGGGGCCCTTCCCCCCCAGCCTGGACTCCTGGCCTCCCGGGCCACTGCCCTCACCCTGCAGCCCAGCCCAGCACCGGCCTCACCACACTCTCTCCCCCCAGGAAGTCGGGGATCACTTCCTTGTCCAGGTAGTCCACCAGGCCCCCAGGGCCCTGGTAGTTGCTGCCGCTGTAGATGAGGAACTTCTGCCTGGTGTTCTCATTGATGAAGGGGCTGACCTGCAGTGGGGGTGAGGCAGAGGGCATGGATTGATCAATTATTGGTACTGGGAATTGAACACCGGGGCGCTCAGCCACTGACCCACACCCGGTCCTTTTTAGTTTTCATCTTGAGACAGAGACTCCCTAGATTGTTCAGCTGGCCTCAAACTTTCCATCCTCCTGCCTCAGCCTCCTGAGTATCTGGGATTACAGAGGTGCACAGCACACCTGCTCGACTAGCCTGTTTTCAGTGGAAAAGAACAGAAGAGACTAGTAAAGAGACTGGCATAGACAAGGAACGCACACCACTTCACAGGTCTCTTGTTCAGGGTGTGCGTGTGCACATGTGTGCACGCACGTGTGCTGGACTACAACTGTGGGTCCTGGCCAAAAGTTTAAAATCCCAATAATCCAAGGTCCAAACTGTCCTTGGAATCAGCTCACAGGAGGCCTGGGAACACTGTACAATGCTGAGGGTTGCCATCCCATTAAAGAAATAGGCAAGGGATACACAAATGTGCTCCATCCACATGCTGGGATATTATTCAGCTGTAAAAAGGAACAGAGAGCCAGGGCAGGCCGCACCACGGCTGGACTCCACAACACTGTGCTCAGGGAAGAAGCCGGACAGCAAGTGCCTCACAGTGGACGAGCCTGTTGACATGAAGCTCCCAACAGGCAAATCCCACAGGGAGGTAGGCGGAGGGTGACCCCCAGGGCCAGGAGGAGAAATGGGCATGAGGGTCCCGGAAAACGTTCTGGGACTGGGTGGGGTAGCAGTTGTACAATTCCGTGAATATAGTGAAACCGCTGAAACCCATACTTTAAGAGGGTGAAGGCCGTGGCATAAGAGTCTTATCTGGATAAAGCTGCCATTTACAAAAGTTGAAACAAGGCCACTCAGTGGGAGGAGCAGAGGAATCCTCCCATCTCAGCCTCCCAGGGGGGCCTGGCCAGGCTCCTGCTCTTACCAGCGTCCAGAGCACGGGAAAGACTCGGGGCGCTCGCACGATGAGCAGCCGGCCCAGGGTCTCGGGGTAGTTATCCTCGACGACCTCGATCATGCGCAGCAGCGCCTTCACCCCCGGCCGCCAGAGGTGCCGCATGTTGAGACCCTCCAGGTCCAGCAGGCAGGTCCAGGAGCTGTGGTGGACACGCACCCCTCACTCCACCTGGCTCTGCCTCGTCCCAGGATGGACAGGGAGGCGGGTGGGAGCAGAGGGGCCACCGGACACTGCTGCGGATCCCTCCGCGGTCGGCAGGCTGCGCGCTGAAGAGGCCCGGAGCCTGGATGCCCAGCTGAGCCCCGGGGCCCAGGCCTCCCCTCCACCTGGAGAGACCTGGGCAGGGACCTGCCACTCTCAGAGTCAGGAAAGGTGGTCAGCTCAATGGGGTGGGGGCTGGAGCGCTCTCTGCAGGAGCTGGTCCCTACTAGTTGAGAGAAGATGCTGTCCACTACATACAGCCCACGCGGCTCTGGAAGCTTGCCCGGCAGCATCGGGTGGCCCAGGCTCAGATCCCGGCTCTGCCACTTGCTGTGTGGCCTGGGCCAAGTTCTTAACCCCTCTGTGCCTCCATTCCATCAGTAGTGAGTCATTAGGGAAATGACCATCTTACTGCAGTGGCCGGTCCCTGGGACCCTCTGCACCCTGGATGTCCCTTAGCCCTGCTCACACCTCTGCAAGGGGGTCCTTTGTGACACTCCCCGTTCAAACCATCTGGGGTGGACTCTGCCTCCGGCCAGGACCCTGACTGACGGATTGCCACCCCCGGCCCCATGTCCCCGTCCTTAAGAAATCTCCAGACAGAAAGGAACTTAATCGTCACAAAGGGAAGACTCCTGGGGGTGGGGGTAAAACTGCAGGTGGCAGGTCCTGTCAGTGCTGGCACCAAGAGGGCCGAGGGCTGGGGGGCCCGGCCGCACACAGCTGGCCGCACACACTGGCCTGCGACCTCCACCCAGGGGTGGGGTCCAGGGAGTGAAGGGGCAGCAGGCCGCTGCTGGGCTTGGTCACCGGGGAGTGGGGCTGTCGTGGGAGATGGAGGGAGACCTCGGGCCACAGAGCTGCTCTCGGGATCCAAAGTCGGGAGCCGGACAGAGCCGGACCCAGACAGGGGCAGGTCCGAGCCAGCTCGGCCACCAATCCCTCCGTGACCCCAGGGAGCACCGCCACTCCTCTAAAGTCAGGGTGACTGCAGCCCCTCACAAGATCACCGCAGGAGCTGGGTGGGGACGGTGACGCTCAGCGCAATGTGTTAGCTGCCCCGTCCACTGGGGAGTCACGCCCAGGTCCTTGCCTGATGGGACGGCCAAACTGCTTGGTGTTCCCCTCACACCTCTTCTGTCCTTCCTCGTTGACAGAAAGGACCTGCAGGGAGGACAGCGTGCTGAGCCACCGGCTCTGCTGTCCCACCCGCAGGTGGCCCCGGGGGCTGGGGGAGGGGGACACACTCACGTGCTGCAGCAGCGCCTCCTCCCCCACCGCCTTCATCAAGCCCTTGGTGTCCATCTGGCCCAGGCGGAGGATGTACAGGGGACGTCCATCTTTGGGGACAAGCAAACAGAAGGGACACTGGTGACCCGGGCAGGTCCAGGCCACCACTGGAATGTGGCATCCTCAGGGAGGAGACAGCGGGCCCTGCACACCCAGGCCCAGTGGACGCATGTCCTGGCCAGCACCTGCTGCCTCCAGGGGGCAGACCCCTCACCAAAGACCCCAACAACAGGCGTGTTCTAATAAGGACAAGGGACACGCCCGCGGGGGCCTCGGCAGCTCCCGCTCCGCGTTGGCGGCTCTTTCCAACCTGAAGCCTTTCTCCCGCCTCTCTTTTGCTCAGAACAGGACGCGAGCCACCCCAGGAGGGGACACTGAGGCCAGACAACACTGAGCCCCAAGCACGCGCTCTTCAGCCTCAGAAGAAAGCCACGGAGAGGGACCTGCTCACACTGGCAATGCCGTCACTCATGTCACCTACAAAGTCCCAGAACACGATCAGCCTCGTCCAGGCAGGAGCGGGTCAGGCGGCGGGAGCCTGGAGACTCGGCCCTTCTGTCCACGTCAGTGGCCTTGTTGGGGGTCAAGGACACTCCCCATGTCCCCGTCCCCATTGGTTCCACTGGGCACTCAGCAGAACCAACTCCCGCAGCAGAGCTAGGCCATTTCCACGGGGGTCTAACAAGACTCCAGAGGCTCCCTGCTCTCTCCAGAGAACAGAACTCTGCGCACACCACGTCCATTTCAGCTACCTAGTGCTGTCCTCGTTGCTGACAGGTGTCCTGTGTAGGACGATGGGACTCGATGGGTGGGTGTCGTCAGCACTGAACCCAAGGCCAGGGGCACACAGGAGCCCACAGCCCGGGATCCTCCCCGACTGCACCCAGGACCCGTGCTCTGGGCACCCGAGGGCAGCACAGCCCTCTGGCCCCACGAAGCAGCAAAGTTGCCCACGAAAAACCCAAAACTGCAAAATCACCGCCCTCTAGAAGCCACCAACGGCTCGTGTGCTGCACAAGCGCCAAACCCTGGAGGCTGCACCGCCTTGCTCAGCCCCAGCCGGGACGTGCACACCTGGCCACCCAAAATTCTCACCCCTCTGAACGTGTCCTTGGATGACCTTGACAGGGCTGCCACGGAGCTGTGACTGTTGATTTGGAGGTTACAAAGACATTTTAGCAAGCGGGGGATCCATGAATACCGAGGACTGCATTAAGACACTGTGCCAACCAGCGTGCCAACCAGGGCTCGAGAGAGCCTGGCATTTCCCCCAATCAGCATATGTGAGTTTTTACATAAAGGACCATGAAAAGCCCAGTAGTTGTTGGCTTTAATTTGAAAAAACAGACACAGTATCTGTGGCAGGTGGAATGTCATCTACACTCACCACACACACACACACACACACACACACACACGCTCACACTCACACTCACACACAAAACCCAAAGTGTGACCCTTATTTGAAAACAGTCTTTGCAGATGCATTCAGTTAAGGACATCAAGAGGAAGCCTTGGCCTCCTGACCAGGTGGGGGGCACAGACCCTGGGACCCCAGTGGAGGCAGGAGGGTGGCAAGCTCAAGGCCACCTCAGCAATGTGGTGAGACCCTGCCTCAAAATAAAAGAGAGCTGGGGATGTGCTCAGTTCTAGAGCACCCCTGGGTGCAACCCCCAATACCAAAAGAAGGGGGGAATCGTTCTGGATCCGGGGTGGGCTCTACATTCAGCCCCTGGGGTCCTTAGAGAAGAAGACACAGAGAGATGCCAAGATGCCACCGAAGACAGGCAGAAATTGGAGGGCTGCAGCCACAAGCCAAGGAGCCCAGGCCCCCGGCCCAGGCTGGGACAGGCAGGGGCGGACCCTCCCCTCTAGCCCTGGGGGAGCACAGCCCTGCCGACACCTTGACTCCAGACTCTCAGCCTCAGAACTTCCAGAGAACACATTTCTGCTGTCTTCGCCACCAGGTCTGTGACGGTCTTCCACGGCTGCCCTAAGAAGCGCCTGGGACATTCGGCAACCATCACCTGCACCCTCGGGGACCCCAGCAAAGGGGGACGCCTGGGCAGGCCCCAAATTCTATTCCATGTGCACCTCTTCCCAGCTGGGCGTCACCTCCAGAGGCCTCCGAGCTCCCAAGGGAAAACCAGACGTTGGCACACGGCCCCTCCTCCAAGTGCCTTGGCAGCCCCCGACCCTCACCTATGTCCTGGTAGTGCCAGCCTCCCGCGTAGAACTCCTCCAGCAGGGCGGGGGGCCGCCAGGTCTGCAGGAGCACGTCCACCTGGTGCTGCTTCCGCCAGCTCAAGGACTGGCACAGCATCTCCCGGGCCTTGTCCAGGTGGAAGTCGCGGGCTCGCAGGAAGCGCAGGATGTGCTCATCTTTGGGAATCTGAGACCCAGAGAAAGAGCCAGAGAAGGACACCCCGCCCACAGGTCAGGTGCCAGAAGGAGCCCCTGGCTCACCTGCAGAGCGTCCCCAACCCCGAGGGAGAGCCAGGGCTCAGGACCCTCCGCACTCGGCTGCCTCTCAGCCCTCCCTGCTCCTGCC